GATTCTATTGAAATTTTAATATCGCATAAATCTCATTATCAATTTAGATTGGCTCTTTTTAATTAAATTTTGCGTAAATACGATGACTCGTATTTGGCCGTCTTTTGAGATGTCGCGTCTTAATTTAATGAAACATTATCGTGTCGGCTTTGAATAAAATGGAAATTACTCGCGGTCTTTTACGTCCTGCTGTAATTTTCGGCACTTCTTTTGAGAATTACTGTATTAAACGGATACTTATTTAAGAGTCAAGAACACGCATCGCGTCAAGAATGCGACGTCAATGATCAGCGGAAATGATTCGTTGATGAACTCGGAGAACGCGAGCCGATTCATTCGTTTCTGACGCAGGTGAAAGTATCAAGATCGTGTCGGATCCGAGTTTGTCGATAACGTTTGAGGATTTTAATCCATTCGGAACGCATTGAGGATCGATAGTATCGATTTCACGAATCAATTAATGAATCCTCTTCGTCTCCTTTGATGTAACACTCATGTATATTGCGTCTTGTCTGAAGCGTGTATATGAAAACAAACGCGGCGTGAAACCCGTTTCGGTTGGACTATGTAATTAACTGTGTCAGTGAATGAATCTTTAGACGACTTGTTCGAATGCGCGTTAAAATATATGTTTCTTGAACTTGTCGAAAAACCGGTCGGCGGAATCGAAATAGCATCGCTATTTAGTAATATTTGAGAATCGTGAAGTGAGTGAAGTATTTTCAATATATACGTATATATTAGGTACATAAGTACATGTACATATTTTATGAAAATTATTCGCAGATTTTTGCGGGCGTCTTGTCTGCTATTGACGTCGCGTTGCAAGGATGTTTTGCGAATATTTTCCAAACGTTTTTCGCTGAAATCTGGGTCACTATTATCGATTCGATGCTAAACGAATTGTACATATTGCTCACGCGATTCGCCAAATTTGCAATTTTATAATGGACAAATTTTTTTTATGTTTTCCACAGTCTGTTTTTCTTTTTGGGAGAGTGAACATCGGTTTTTTTCAATCACTATCGATGATCGCGTGGCACAGAGGTCCGGTCAACTTCGCGAAGACTACAGAACGCTGTATTTCACGAGATATCCTACTTTCCCCGTTGTACGGTGCATTACTCCTAGATTATGACCTCCCGACAGGTCTTCGATGTCTCTCCGAGCTAACGATAGCCGTTTATTAACTTATTAGTATGCGAACCTTCGGATGAGGATTGTCGTCTGCTAAAGGCGCACGTGAAACCTCTGATGTTTACGCGCGGAATATTTAAACTATTGATATACGAAGGAAGTTATATCATTTTCAGTCGATATTATGTCTCCTTCGATCTGCGAGGTTCTGAGGAATTTAGACAAACGAAAATTCTCTCTTTCTCTTCGTCTTGAAGTCGCAAATCTTGTCCGTCTGTGTACGCGAATGTATAATTTTCGCGGTTAGTGACAGTGACCCAGCCACTCGCGTCGGGCTCCTTCTTCAAAGACTTTCTCGACGTGATCGTTAACAGGTACGATCGAGTTCTCTTGTCGATCGACGGGGCGTCTAGCCCCTGGGAACTGTCCTCGATCTTCACGACCGCACGATCACTTTTTAGCTTGCGTGAAAATAAATATGCCAATTATTTATTTAAATTTGACGTATAACTTTGATTTATTTAAAAAAAAAAATGAGGCATAGAATCTTGCATTTTACGGGAGTTGCTCGCAACTTTCGTAATATTTATCTATGAAATACGCGCGTATATACAAGGTGTTTCTTAATAAGCGCGAAAAGTTTTAGGAGATGATGCTTTGTCGAAAATTAAGGGAAGTTTTTCATATAAACATACATATATACTCTTACATTCCTCCCTGTGGAGTTACACTCCTCCAAAAATGAAGGTAAAAATTAGGTTTCTATTTTTTTCTCAAATTTGGAACAAGTTAAAGAAATGAAATTAGGTGGATATTTTCTACTAGTAAAAGGATTATTTATTAATATTTGTTCAGCCACTCGAATTGTTATAAAGGGATGAAACTAGCAATTCTTATTCAATTTTTTACTAAAAACTTTTTAATGGGTCGGAATATAATCCTCTAAAAATATGCATTAAAAAGTTTAATTTATCTAGAAACTTTTTATTTTTTTTTATTTTTTCATAAAATCAGTAGTTTTCAAGAAAAAAAATAAAATCGTGCACAGCACGATACTAAATAGCATAAGTTCCGAATTAATTACGAGAAGAATTAAATTTTAAAATAAAAATAAAACTAGAGTAAATGTTGGGAAAATTGGAACAAAAACAAAATTATAATAAAACCTAATTTTTACCCCATTTTTGAAGAAGTGTAACTTCACAGGGAGGAATATAATTTTCGACAAAGAATCATCTCGTAAAATTTTTCGCACCTATTAAGAAACGCCCTATATATATAACTACGAATATATCTTGTCCAAGAAAATGCTCGAAAGTGAACTTTTGACGCGTCGCGCGTCTTTAATCAGATTTCGTTCGTGCAAAATTTTATTATCGATTGGGAGCTTCTTTCGGAGACGTTCGCCAATTCGGGAAGGTTACATCGCGTCGTGGGAACGCAATTTTGACGACTCTGCCGGTCGATTGGGGCAGGTCATGACCCCTCGGAAATTATTCCCGGCAACCTCTCGCGAAACGGTAGCCCCTTAGGGAGATCAGTTAACAACGGTCTTTACGACTCACTTTACAAGACATCGAGCACCCCTCCCTCGTTGATGTCGTAAAAGATCGGTGCTCGCTCGTATATTACGCGAACGGCCGGCTAAAGTTTCGTCGGCTTGTTGGGAAATGTAGTAGTCACGTCGAATACACCGCTGTTTGGTTTTACGTTTCGTCAAAGTACCGTAAACCGTACCAAAATGTCCGGCTGCCACGGATAATCGCGTATTCATGGCGCTCTTGCATATCGCGGCGGAATCGCACGAATTATTTAATTCGTCCGACAATATTGATGCCTCTGCCGTTCGATAAATTTTTCGTAGACTTCCCTCTGCTGCATAATTATTAGATAAAACTCGAGAAAAATATTTTGTTTACAATCGGATTGAATATTATTTAAAGATGTTTTATATGTATAATCCCAACAAAAAATAGCTGAAAATCAATATTGGTGAATATATCCACTTTTGGTGTATTTTGAATAATTCGACGAGTATAGACAATATGCAACAATATGCAATGTTTTCCTTGAAAAGATTTATTATATATTATTATATAAAAAAAAATTTAAGATATTACTTTAACCTCGTTTTTCCAATATTTCAATGTTTATTTGTTTATTTCAGAGATTGAATTAAGGATGTTTTGTACGTACAATTTCAGCAAAAAATAGCTGAAAATCAATATTGACGAATATATCCACTTTTGGTGTATTTTGAGTATGAAATATTGTGGAATATTACAATTTGATCTTAGTGCAGAGATGTATTTTTTAATATTTATTGCGTTTTTACTGAAATATTCCGAATTTTGTTAATCGAAATGATTAACTTTTGGCAGAGAATTTTTCCTTGTGACAGATACATGGCTAACTTCATTGAATTATATTTAATATCCTTTTAACCAGTTAGTACTTGTATAATATTATTTGACCAAATATTTCCTCTGTATCTAAACTTTTGCAAATTTTAAACAAATTCTAAATTTTATTTCCATGTATTTTTGTCATTTGAATCGACGGTTGGTTATACGTTTCTCATAAGAACACATGTTAATTCGGTGCAAATTAAAATCCTTATAACTTGTGAACGCTTTAGTGAATCGATTTAAAAATTATACTGAAGATTCTAAACATATGTAAGAACATTCTGTACAATTTTTATTAAATTCTCAATATTTTAGAAATAGGTACAAAACATCCTTAATATTAAATAAGTAATGTCTATAAATTTTTCTTACGTGGAAAAAGTTTTATAACGCACTCTCTTGCGCGTAATAAATGATCGCTGACAGCATTGGCGAACTAAACGAAATAAATTGTGAAAACTTGGCAACGATGATGCTTTTTGGCACAAGTCTTTAGAAAAAGGACTTATAGTGATGCACAGGAAGCTTGAAAATATTTCGGGTGTAAAGACACTCTCGTTTGAATCTCTAAATCTTTATTCACGCGAGATGAGCAAATAAAACAAACTGCATTTTTCAGAAATTATTGTAATAAAAATAAAAACACACTACTAAACTGAAATATATTCTATCGTTAAGTGTATCGCGTAGATAGGTTATTCATTATATTATCCCTAGTAACTAATATTTTATCCTATTAGTAATATTTTATCCCATTATGTTTGACCACATAGGAGAATATCATGGATTTTAGTCCGTGCCATCGAGCAGATTGTGCTTCGCGTATTTACACTATTGTAATTAATACCGAACGTTATCCTGCCCCTCTTCCTCCAATACACGTACACATATTGATCGCTCTGTGAGTATCCAATTAGATAAATTAATTACGTTTCTGTGATCCACGCCGCAATTTTCATACCACGAGCCGAGGCTGATACTTTGCGTTTGCGAGATATATATGCGGCGTTTATTTCGATTTGCAGAGAATTTCTCGAACAACGACATGCGTTTTTTGCAACAATGCCAGGCGCATAAGATTTATTTCTCGAAATAAAAGTGTCACGCTTTTCTCCGCGGTGTAGAAAAACTTGGAGCCTCTGCTCCATAAATCGACTTCCGCGATCTGTCGATCGAGATCGCAATTGAGGCTGTATCGTAATATACTCCTTGTAATATTTAATCCTTGCGTTAGTTGATATGTATTAGAAATAAGAACCGATGAAAAATGTAAAATGAGTATCTCTTTCGACGGTAAAATTTTTCTGCAGTATATCCCTTCATCACCGGATAATATCCATTATTAAGGATTACAAGCAAAAGGTAGATTATGTCTCTCGAATTGCACGTCGAGCGGATCGGAAAGCCGCGATATTATCCGGCATTATTAATTCAATTCGATTCTCGTTGTTTCAGACGATGTCGAAGAGATCGACCGAGCTGTCCAGGTGGCTGCTACTGGCCGGGCTTTTGTGCTGCTCGTCCTGCCAGAGCGTACCGTCCTCCTTCGAGAATAAAACCGGTGAGTGTTTCGATTCTTTTCGATCGCCTTCCTGGTTTATACATGACGTTACTAATACCGCGTGTCCTGCGAAATATCTTCCACCGAGTGGATTATGGTTTAAAGAAATCCGTCTAACGTCGCGGAGTTCCTACCCGACATTATTTTTGTATAGTCTCGTGAAGAATTCATTCGTGCGAATTCGGTCCTCGCGGTGAAAGATTTATTCATTCCGTCCTCAAGTAGATAGTAATGCAAAAAAAAAACCGGTAAAAAACATTTGGTATTTCTGTTAAAATTTTCTCGTGTAAAAACTTTTGTGTTAAATTTTTAATATACTCTTATGTTAATGTAACATATTATCATTGCGTTATTTTGACATTTCTCTTTTTCACATTGAGTTAATATTCACCGTTTCTAAGAGTTAAAACAACATAATTAATATGTAAATGCACGAATTTGTGATATGTTATATATTAAAATGAACAGATAAGTTGTGTTATTTTTCTCTCTGTAACAGTTTTCATATGTTAAATCAACATATCTCTTCTGTTATCATAAAAATATAAGAATAACATTTTCTTTTAATTAAATTTAACATTATAAATATATTAATTTAACATAAACTTTATTTCCAGATAAAGTTCAAGTATTACACTTTTGTGTTAATTTTTATTACATATTACTTGTGTTATTTATTTACATACTTGCCTTCTGTTAAATTAAAATTAGAGGATAAATTGCGACATGTGAAATACGTTAAATTTAACACAAAATTTTTTACTATGAAGGAGAACTCTCGAGGGGACGCATATCACGTTACTTCGACATGCTATTTCGATGAAACGAATTAAACTTCCTCGAGCGCGATGAAAAATATCGGAAATCAGACTTTTACCCCTACAAAGTGTCTCGATCAAAGTGCAACGATCTGGGCAGGCAATGCATTAAAAATAGCGTAATATCAACAATCTGCAATTATTCGATTTTTAGGTAAATAACGTGTAAATGTTTTTGACAGTAATATATACGCGATGTTCACACATTATTAATTATTTCGCGTTATTAATTATTACGCTTCATGAAACCGCAATTGCACTTTTCTCGCTGCCGTTCGTTTTGCTGTTATTGTGATGTTGCACGACGAGCTTTATTTATTGAATCGCGTTTGGAATGCACCGACTAGCTCTGCAGGTACTTCGATCGTCGTATTGCGGGTTACGGAAGCTGCGGGAAAAAGGATTCGAGCTGGCACACGAAGAACGCGACTTTGCGTCGCGACGCCGCGACGACGTCGCTATTGCATCCAACGTTGCATTGGAAATCCGATTTCCTACTTTTTGGACCGGAAATTGGATCCCGTGGCGGCCCGACCCACCACCGAGGTCGCGACGAGAACGTGCGGTTAATTGGAGATACACGTGTTTGATTCGCTTCGAGTTTCCCCCCGAAAAATAATATATCGATGGACCGGAGGAGAGAAGTTTCTCCCTTCGTCTCCGGGAAGAATCTTTTGATTCCAATAAAAACTTTTATTTTTCTTCGAGTGCTTTGTGTCTCTGCGCGATACTGTGACCGCTCCCGTTCGATTCTTATCCATTCTTGACGCATTGCGGTAAAATAGAGAAACGGGAACGGGACCAATAAACGAATATGAAAGGAGCATGTTGTTATATCGTGACGGAATTCTGTTTAATTGATTTCTATAAATTTGATTGCACATTAACTTTCGATTTATCAGCATGAGAAATACGAGTGATTAAAGAAATGTGAGATATTAAAAATTTGGCGCAAATGTTCATTCTCGCTTCCTAATAAGTTGCCAAACATTATTCAACAATTCTAGCATTAATTTTCGTAAAAATTGGCGACGCGCCATATGTGCGTATTGCTTTTACGTGTGCGTCATCGCACGAGTATCAGTGGGGCGGGTCAGTGGGTCATTCTACTCGATGCTAAAAGACACTCCATGCGTCGACGATACGCACGCATGCACGCGCACGTTTTGAATTAATTCGCGTATTCGCGCGATGCGTTTAAATGCGATGCTTGAGTAGTTTTCGTCCGATGTGCCATCAATCTGTGACATTTGTACGCAAAAAGTGGAAAGGCTAGATAAAAATGAATGGTTTTCAAATTTCCAAACACATTATTTACAATGCAATAAATCCAGATTACAATAAAAATCGTTGCAAATATATGTGAACTATTTACATTTTTAAAAAAATTTCAAAAAACTGTTTAAATATATTTCAAAGATCAATGTTATTCTACAAATTTTAATTTAGCAAGAGAGATTCAACTTTATTAATTAATTAAATAAATTTGGGATAAATTTCAAATTTCCAATACGATTTACAATACAATAAATCCAGATTACAATAAAAATTGTTGCAAATATGTATGAGCTATTTACATTTTTAAAAAATTTCAAAAAACTGTTTAAATATATTTCAAAGATTACTGTTATTCTACAAATTTTAATTTAGCAAGGGATTCATCTTTATTAATTAATTAAATACATTTGGGATAAATTTCAAATTTCCAACACAATTATTTACAATGTAATAAATTCAGATTACAATAAAAATCGTTGCAAATATATGTGAGCTATTTACATTTTTTTTTAATTTCAAAGAACTAAATATATTTTAAAAATCAATATTATTCTATAAATTTCAATTTAGCGAGGGAGATTCATCTGTATTAATTCATCTTTATTAATTAAATAAATTTGGGATAAATTTCAAATTTCCAACACGATTATTTACAATGTAATAAATCCAGATTACAATAAAAATCGTTGCAAATATATGTGAGCTATTTACATTTTTTTTTAAATTTCAAAAAGCTGTTTAAATATATTTTAAAACTCAATGTTATTTTATAAATTTCAATTTAGCAAGAAGAATTCATCTTTATTAATTAAATAAATTTGGGATAAATTTCAAATTTCCAACCGATTATTTACAATGTAATAAATTCAGATTACAATAAAAATCGTTGCAAATATATGTGAGCTATTTACATCTTTAAAAAAAATTTCAAAAAATAATTTAAATATATTTCAAAGATCAATATTATTCTATAAATTTCAATTTAACGAGAGAGATTTATCCTTATTAATTAATTAGATAAATTTGGGAAGTACGTGATTCTCTCTGTGACTTTTGTGAGCTTCTTGAAAAGACGTGAAACTTTAGATTTATATCTTTCTCGTGTATCCATTCTATTTCACAGATCTTAAGATCCCGACGTGTTTCAACTTGGAAACTTTCTCAAGGAGCGAAATGTAATCAAATTACCGAGAAGAATATCGCGGGGTCGGGAAACGTGCGACAGTGTCCGCAATTGCGATCGCTAAAAGTTCCCTCGCGCGAGAGAGACGCCGCGTCCCGTAAATAACATAAATTGCAATTTTTAATTTGCGCCAACGTCGGGATAACGCTGGCGGATTCCTCGCCTCGCCGTCCTTCGTCGCGCATTGCTCCACTTTCAAACGACGACGGCGACGACGATGCCTGACACAAAAGTACGGGAAAATAAGCGCGTCGCGCTTTTATCACGCGCGCTCACAATGGCCAACTTTGCATTTAACGTTTCCTCCTTCCCTTCCTGCCCCTCTCGACAACCTTTGTACCTCTTCTTCGAATACGGCTGTACGAGAGCAACCTCGTCGACGACCCGGCACCACCCTCTGTTTCGCATCCTCGCCGCGCGAGGAAAATCCGCGAGGAACGATGATTAATTCCTTGACCGCGTTTTTTTTTTTTTTTTTTTCGCGACGCAAACAAACAACGGCGATCGTTGCTGCAATATTTTGCTGGGAAATATATTTGCGGAAAATTTTGTTTTTGGATTTTTCGACAAATCAGGTATGAAATATGAAGGCAGACAGAGAGGAAGCGTAGACGAACGGATTAATAATAAAATGGAAAGCCGCGCGAGCGTTACTCTGATTACTATTTGAAAAATTGAAATAAATTATTGCACGATATAATCGATATAACAGCACGGTTTAGCTTTTACGGAAAAAAGGAAGGAGAATATACTCCTTCGAATACTTGATTAATATCATTTATTTTCGATTTTCCGGCGGAAAATATCGTAATTTCTGTTAAAAGCCTCGATGGCACCGCCATCGAAAGGTCCTGTATAATATCGCGGCGAATGTAAATTTACGTTGTCGGTAGATAAAAGGAAGATAACACGCGAAAGAGAGAGAGAGGGGACGGAATTAAAAGGGAGAAGATACGGCCGTGCATTTTATACGCTCGATTTCATTCGGTATTGTACCACTTCTCAGCTATAAAAGCGGCACGGGAATATATGTCGCATGAGCGTAATGCGTACAAACGAGCGGGAAAATAATCGTACGAGCGACCACGACATAAACGTACACGGACGCACGCACACATTGGCGCAAATGTAATAACGCTTTCGGTAGCTTTATATGCATTTGCATTGCAGCCATGTTATGCTTCTCACGTTCTGTTCGGAGAGATTCTACCGTTTCACGTTGCTGCATTGTTCTTAGAAGTTGCGAGATTATATATAATTATAGAGAGAGAAGATAGAGGGATTTGTTAACAATAAAATGTGAATATGTGCGTCTATTATATATCTCTCTTCCAATCCCGATTAATTTTATATAAAACTTTTAAGCGTCACGCGAAGGTATCGCTTAATATCTAGATGTAATATCAACCTATTGTTATTTATTCCGTCGGATTTTGAGATTCCCCGCAAATCGTTTCGCGTAATAAACGTAATAAAAGTGATATAATAAATTGATGTGATATAAATTGATGCAATAAAATTGACATCGCCTCGTGAAATTTTGGAAATTGTTTCCTCGATTCATGATACGCGTTACATCATCTCGCACGAAACCGGGACGATCATTTGCATAATAGAAAGAAACGGAGCAGCTTCGTAACAATCGCCGCATTTTATCTCGAGTCCCTCGCATTCACGCCCGTCTCGATCGAGAAACCGAGGGAATGTACGGCTTTCTTCAA